TGGACTGCCAGAAGAACGAACAAATCTGTCTTGGAAGAAGTACAACCAGAATGCTCCTTAGAAGCAAGGATGGCAAGACTACGTCTCACGTACTTTGGACATGTTATCAGGAGGGATCAGTCCCTGGAGAAGGACATCATGCTTGGTAATGTAGAGGGTCAGTGAAAAGAGGAAGGTCCTCAATGAGATGGATTGACACAGTGGCTGCAATAATGGGCTCAAGCATAACAACGATCATGAGGATGGCGCAGGACCACGCAGTGTTTTGTTCTGTTGTACATAGGGTCGCTATGAGTTGGAACTGACTCGACAGCACCTAACAACAACAACAACAAACTCCTAAACTGTGAGAAAAGAAATTTCTCTTCTTTAAAACCATGCATTTGTGGTATTTTTATTACAGCAGCACTAGGAAACTAAGACAGCACAGTTTGCCGAACAAAGGGAGTATCTTGGCCATTTTTCTGTAGTGTTTCCAGAGGTATAATAGTAATAACCCAAACTAACAAGTATTGAATGCCTACTCACGTATCTCTTCTTTAGTCATGCAAAAAAAACAGTTGTCCTTGAGTTGACTCCAACTCATGACACCCGCATGTGTGTCGCAGTAGAACTGCGCTCCATGGAGTTTTCAATGGCTGATTTTTCAGAAATAGATCACCGGGCCTTTATTCTGAGGCACCTCTGCGTGGACTTGAACCTCCAACCTTTTGGTTAACAGCTGAGCATGTTAACTGTTTGTACCACCCAGAGACTCCCCACAGTCAAGCAGATGGTGAGTTTAGGGAAGAAGCAAATATGTTGGGAAAATGAGAGAAATAGAAAACCGAGGTTGACATCACAGAGTTATAATCCTTATTGCACACAGAGATCAGGACAGAGCAAATGTGTTTGTTTTGTTTTAACAGATGAGTTGGAACCGACTCAACGGCACGTAGCAATGGTCTCCATCTTTCAAGTCCCTGGGGAGAACTCTGGTGTCTAACTGGAAAATAGATTGTGGGTCTAAATTAAGTGTCTTACTTGCCTAGTGGTGCTGTAGCAGAAATACCACAAGTGGGTGGCTTTAAAGAACAGAAACTTATCTCCTCCCAGAGCTAGAAGTCCAAATTCAGGGCACTGACTGTAGGGGAAGGCTCTCTCTCTCTGACCTCTCTCTGTAGCCCTAGCATTCCTCAGTTCCTTGGTGATCTTCATGTGGCATCTATCTTCCCCTATTTGTGTTTGCTTATCTCTGCCTATGCTGCTGCTTATAACTCAAAATGATTAGGCTTAGGACACATCCTACACTGATATGACCTCCTTAACATAGAAAAGAAAACCCTATTCCCAAACAGGTTTGCATCCACAGTTACGTTCTTGTTAGGTGTCAGGGATTCTGATTCATAGCAATCCCACGTGACAGAGTAGAATTGCCCCGTAGGGTTTCCTGGGCTGTAATCGTTAAAGAAGCAGACTGCTACATCTTTCTCCTTCGGAGCAGCCTGGGGGTTCAAATCACCGACCTTTCGGGTAGCAGCCGAGTGCTTAACGGTTGTGTCACCAGGGCTCCTAATATCCACAGGTATAGGGGTTAGGATTCCAACACAAATTTTGAGAGGACACAATTCAATCCATAACAGTAGCGTTTGTCAACCCCAGCACTATTGATACACGAAGCTGGATAATTCTCGGTTGGGAGAGGGGAGCTGACTTGTGGGTTGTAGGACGTTTAGCAGCATTCCTCTCTCTACCCATGAGGCCCCAGGAGCACCGTCCTTTGCTGCGATACCAAAAACGTCTCCAGACATTGCCAAATGCTGCCAGGTGGCAAAATCACCCCTAGTTGAGAACCAACGGTCTAAGGAATATAAGGGATAAGACGAAGGTCAGTTACTTCTCTTTCCTTTTCTGTCAGGACTATTGCCGTCCACCTTGACTCTGTGGACATAGAGAGCATAGACCTGCCCCCAGTGTTCTGATCTCAGATTTCTAGCCTCCAAAACTGTGAGACAATAAATTACTGTTTTTTAAACTCTTTCGTTACTATTGACACAAAGAGTACGCCAGCCACTTTGTATGCCTCTGGACCTCAGGTAAGGTGTTATTCCGGTTCCAATGCATTTAGCATCAAGGTGGGACCCTTTTAAAATGTGTGAAGCTCAGCAGACCAAAGTTGGAGCCTCATTGTTGCATAGGTTGAGCATTTTATAAGGTGATGCTTCCCAGATGTGTTAGCTTTGTAAACCTTTGCCTTTTTCCCCTTTATTTCTGTGAAATAAGACTTGCAAGCATAACGATGGCTTTCCTGTGTGATAGTTAGCGAGCCTGGTGGGTTTGTTTTGTTTTTTTCTGGGTCATATTTGGAAAACCAGAGGTTCCTCATGTAATCTAATGGAAAGGCACCTGCAATAAGTTAATTAGCTAGCTCTCATTGGTATATTGTCATACACAGATCAGTGGCACCAGAGTACCACTCGCCTCATTGGTGGCTTGTATTACCAGATCATATTGCTCAAAATCTATATTACCAACTAAAAATTTAAACCCACTCAATTAGTAAGCACGCATTCTAATACTGAAAACACACGTCATCCCCCAAAAAAAAAAATTAAGGAGAAAAAAATGTAGTAACGAAAGGGTTAACACCACCCACTTTATGGTATTTTGTTATGGCAGCCATAGGAAACTAAGACGCTGGGCCCAACTAAAATCCATACGGTCATAACTATTTTCCAAGCAAGAGTTCCTTCACAGCCTTCCAGAAAATGGGGTCATCTGCCTTCTGCTAGAACACTTCTAGTGACAGTTGCTCATTCTCTTTTCAAGCGGTTACAGCTGTTGAATGTTCGCTTTCATCCCAGTTATCTTACTTGTCCCTGGAGAGGAGGTTGAACAGCCTTCGCATTGAGCTAGAAAACTGAATTTTCTAGCGTTGGAGTAAATCGGTCGTTGTTGTGGTTAGTTGCCTTAGAGTCAACTCCGACTCATGACAACCTTATGTATAACAGAGCAAAACGTTGCCCAGTCCTGCACCATCTTCACGATTATGGTGTGCTCGAGTCCATTATCGCAGCCACTATGTATTTTGAGTGCCTTCCAACCTAAGGGACTCATCTTCCCACACTGCATCAGACAATATTCTGTTATGATCCATAACCTTTTCATTGGCTAATTTTCAGAAGTAGTTTGCCAAGCCTTTCTTCTTAGTTTCTTAATCTGAGTGCTCTGCTAAAACCTGTCCACTATGGGTGACCCTATACAGGTGGAATAGCTTCCAGCAATCATAGCGACATACAAGCCCACACAGTGCAACAAGCTGATGGGTAGTGGAGAACTGGTCATAGCTGCAGGAAAGATGTCCCTAGGCACACAAATTCCCTACCTTACCCCTGGGCTTCATGACCTCAGCATGGAGTAGAAAGAAAAATTCTTCTTTCCTAGATACCCCATGGTTTCCATATCCACATCAGTATCTTGGAGTTGTCCTCCTATGGCTTGTAGCCTATGGTTCTGTATCAAACACCTTTGTCTGCTGAACGTATTTTCCCTTTGTCAGAGACTAGCACCCCTCCTTCCTTTAGGAACTTGTCTTCCCCCTGCCCCACATTCATGTCACCACGGATGGAACTTTAGTTTTACATTTAATTAGATTTTTTTTTTGGTGAAACTATACACAGCAAAAGGTACACCATTTCAACAAATTCGACTGTTACAATTCAGTGACATTATTTACATTCTTCATGTTGTGTAATTGTTCTCAGTATCCTTTCTCAAATCGTCCCATCATCATTAATGTAAATCATTGCCCCCTAAGCTTCTCATCTAACCTTTCAAGATGCTGTTGTCAATTTGACCTGATACACATAAATCTTTGAGAGAGCATAATGCTCAAGACAGACATGCTTTACTAATTAGGCTAAACTGTTATTTGGTTCAAAGCAGACTTCCAGGAAAAGTTTTGATTTGAGGTTTAAGGTTTAAAGAGTATCTCAGGGCAATAGTTCTGTGTGTTCAGCCAGTATTAAAAAGCAATGATTGTCACTTTGAGGACTAAGGTGCACCTGACCCATGCCATGGTATTTTCAATTGCCTCAAATACATGTGAAAGCTGAACAATGAAAAAGGAAGACCGAACAAGAATTGACACTCTCTGATTAGATAAAAAAACTCTAAAGAAAAAAAATCAAGAAAACCTTACCTGTCACCCAGATCTCAAGGCTATCACTGGGGTGTGAGGCCCAGAAAGGACTGCTTTTCTGGTAGTAGACACAGCTGTAGTTCCCAGTGTCCTTGACTGTCACATTCTGGAGGGAGAACTCTGCCATGTTCCCTAATGGCCTCCAGTCCCGTATGGGCTCTGACATTCCTTCCTTCAGTAGAGCAAACCTTACATAGTCCACAACATTGTATGGCTTCTGGCACCGCAGAGGCACTTTTTTTCCTGCAGTCACATTACGACTTGGGTAGGCTTGGAGGGAAGGTTTAGGGAAACCTCCTATAAAAGAAGGAAGCTCAGAGGTAATGAGAGAAACCTTGGGTTGCCCATCACCCTGGTTTTCATGCAGTGGGGCTAAATTAAAGATAACTGATCTCACCCTGCACTGATTCCAGGACAGAGTATCCCCTCCCAACAAGCCTGGATAAAACCAACATTCAAATTCTGTTCCTGTCTCTCTTCGCCATCACCCACACTTCGCTACACTGGGGACGCAACCCCTGGTCTCCCTCTCTCCCTCTCATTCCTCCCTCATCCCCTGTCCCAAGGAAAACCATATGTCATTCCAGAGCACCTCCTTCTCACCTGTAACCAGAAGTAGAAGGACATCACTGGGCTGTGAAGTTGTGTAGGGGGACAGAATGGTGTAGTATTCACAGGTGTACTCCCCAGCGTTACCTTGGTGTAGATCAGTGAGAAGGAATTCAGCCAGGTTCTCTGTAAGATTACATGGCTCTAAGGACCACATAGTAATTCTTCCCTTTTTGAGAGCAAAGTTTACATTCCTGGTTGGAGACCAGCACCTCAGAATCACATTGCTCTTGAGAGGGACCACCGAGCTGGGCCAGGCACTGAGGCTGGGCTTGGGAAGTGGCCCTGGAAGGGAAACAGAGCCCAGGGCTGGATTTGACTCCTCATCTTGCTCTCAGAAGCCCACATAAGGAAGAGGAAGGAAAAGTGGGGAATTTAGAGTGAAGAAACACTCACCATCTCCTGTCATGTCCCTTTGGCTAAGACACAGACCTGTAAAAGAACCCTCCATGAGTGATCCACCACCTGCCTGCAGCCCACATCATCTCCCTGCCCTGATCCCTGAGGGACCACCCCAGAGTCTCTTCTGAGAATTTTTTTGTTGTGTGCTGTCAATGGCAACAGATTTGGTTTTGGTTTGGTGCATTGTAGAATTTTCAGCAGCAGCCTTGGCCTTTACCTACAAGATACCAGTAGCAACTTCCCCCAGCCAGTTGTGACAACAAAAAATATCTCAAAAACAACAACATCAAAACCCGTTGCCGTTGAGTCAATTCTGATTCATACGACCCCATATGCGTCAGAGTAGAACTGAGCTCCATAAGGTTTTTAATGGCTGATTTTTCAGAAGTAGATCTACAGGGCTTTCTTCCAAGGCACTCTGTGTGGACTCAAACTTCTAATCTTTCAGTTAGCAGTGAGCACGTTAACTGTTTGCACCACCAGGGACTCCACACCTTGCCAAATATGCCTGGGGTGGGGGTTGATAACCACTGTTCTGCTTCAGTGTGAGCAGCCAGAAAGGAAGAAAACGAACCAGACAGGGCCTCAGGGTGAGCCCTCAGTGAGCAGTGGTGGACTTCCCTCACTTTTCAGACCCGCCAGTTCACAGAACATCTCATCTCATCTCATGTCATCTCATGTCTGAATCTCATTTGCGAAGTTACAGGATATGACTACAGAGAACCGTTGTGCCACAGACTTTCTGAGGCAGAATGAGATGGAAATGGTGATGTGACATAGAGAGCACGAGGGGTGGCCTCCAGGAGAAATTTCAAGGTCTTCACCAAGACGATGATGATGATGGTGGTAATCATCATAATAATAACCAAAACCGTCATCATGGAGTCAATTCTGACTCACAGTGATCCTATATGATAGACTAGAACTGCCCCATAGTTTCCAAGGCTTGTAATCTTTACACAAGCAGATTGCCACTTCTTTCTCCACAGGGTGTGGCCTTATATAAATGAATGTTCTGGCAAAGTTCACTCTCCTTCCAATACTGCAGTCTTCTTGGCATCTGACTACAGTTCCTGGGCTGTAGGGCAGCAGGGACCGCAAACCTGTCACCTAACCTGTAGATTTTGGACCATCGGCCCCTGTAACCACATGAGCCAGCAGAGGTCATCAGCTTGTCTTCTGACCCACAGATTTGGGACTTACCAGCCCCCACAGCTGTGGGAGCCATTTCCTTGAAGTCAATTTATATATATACATGTATCTATACAGACTTCATTGGTTTTTCTCCTCTAGAGAACACAGACTAAGACGACAGTCATACCCATCCAGTTATGTATTTTCTACAACTGCTTTTGTGCCACAATGGCAGACTTGAATGTTATTGTTATTGTTAGGTGCCATTGAGTCACTTCTGACTCATAGCAAGCCTACATACAACAGAACGAAACACTGCCTGGTCCTGCCCATCCTCACAATCGCTGTTATGCTTAAGCCCATTGTTGCAGCCACAGTATTAATCTATCTCATTGAGGGTCTTCCTATTTTTCACTGACCCTCCACTTTACCAAGCATGATGTCCTTCCCCAGGGACTGGTCCCTTCAGATAACACGTCCAAAGTATTTGAGACATAGTCTCACCATTCTTGCTTCTAAGGAGCATTCTGGCTGTACTTCTTCCAAGACAGATTTGTTCGTTCTTCAGGCAGTCCATGGTTTATTCCATACTCTTTGCCAACACCATAATTCAAAGGTGTCAATTCTTCTTCTGTCTTTCTTATTCATCGTCCAGCTTTCACACGCATATGAGGTAATTGAAAACACCCTGGCTTGGGTCAGGTGCACCTTAGTCTTCAAGGTGACGTCTTTGCTTTTTAACACTTTAAAGAGGTCTTTTTGCAGCAGATTTGCCCAATGCAATGTGTCTTTTGATTTCTTGACCGCTACTTCCATGGGTGTTGATTGTGGCTCCAAGGAAAATGAAATCCTTGACAACTTCAGTGTTTTCTCCATTTAACACGATGTTGCTTATTGGTTCAGTTGTGAGGATTTTTGTTTTCTTTATACTGAGGTGTAATCCATACAGAAGTCTGTGGTCTTTGATCTTCATCAGTAAGTGCTTCAAGTCCTCTTCACTTTCAGCAAGCAAGGTTGTATCATCGCATAATGCAGGTTGTTAACGAGTCTTCCTCCAATCCAGATGCCACATTCTTCTTCACATCGTCTAACTTCTCAAAGTATTTGCTCAGCATACAGTTTGAATAGGTATGGTAAAAGGATGCAACCCTGACACACACCTTTCCTGACTTAAACTACACAGTATCCCCTTGTTCTGTTTGAACCACTGCCTCCTGATCTATGTACAATTAAGTGTTCTTGAATTCCTGTTCTTCCCAATGTTATCCTTAATTTGTTCTGATCCACACAGTCGAATGCCTTTGCATAATCAATAGAACACAGGTAAACACCTTTCTGGTATTCTTTGCTTACAGCTAGGATCCATCTGACATCGGCGGTGATATCCGTGGTTCCAGGTCCTCTTCTGAACTCAGCTTGAATTTCTGGATGTTCCCTTGCTGCAGCTGCTTTTGAATGATCTTCAACAAAATTTTATTTGCATGTGATATTAATGATATTGTTCAATAATTTTCACATTCTGTCGGATCACCTTTCTTGGGAATAGGCGTAAATACAGGTCTCCTCCAGTCAGTTGGCCAGGTAGCTGTCTTCAAAATTTCTTGGCATAGACAAGTGAGCACTCCAGTTCTGCATCCATTTGTTGAAACAATTGGTATTCTGTCAATTTCTGGAGACTTGTTTTTCACCAATGCCTTCAGTGCAGCTTGGACTTCTTCCTTCAGTACCATCAGTTCCTGATCATATGCTACCTCCTGAAATGGTTGAACATCGACCAATTCTTTTTGGTATGGTGACTGTGTGTATTCTCTCCATCTTCTTTTGATGCTTCCTGCATCATTTAACATTTTCCCTGTAGAATCCTTCAATATTGCAACTCCCGGCTTGGATTTTTTCTTTAGTTCTTTCAGCTTCAGAAATGCCGAGGATGTTCTTCCCTTTTGGTTTTCTAACTTCAGGTCTTTTCACATGTCATTATAATAGTTTACTTTGTCTTCTCGACCCACTCTTTGAAGTCTTTTGTTCAGCTCTCTTACTTCACCATTTCTTCCATTTGCTTTAGCTACTCGACATCCAAGAACAAGCTTCGTAGTCTCTTCTAACACCCATTTTGTCTTTTCTTTCTTTCTTGTCTTTTTAATGACCTTTTGCTTTCTTCATGTATGACGTCCTTGATATTATTCCACAACTCGTCTGGTCTTTGGTCATTAGTGTTCAACTCGTCAAATCTATTCTTCAGACGGTCTCTAAATTCAGGTGGGATATACTCAAGGTCATACTTTGGCTCTCGTGGACTTGTTCTAATTATCTGCAGCTACAACTTGAACTTGCATATGAGCAATTAATTATCTGTTCTTCAGTCAGCCCCTGGCCTTATTCTGACTGATGATACTGAGCTTTTCCATTGTCTCTTTTCACAGATGTAGTCAATTTGATTCCTGTATATTCCAACTGGCAAAGTCTACGTGTATAGTCGCTGTCAATGTTGTTGAAAAAAGGTATTTGAGATGAAGAAGTCATTGGTCTTGCAAATTTCTATCATGTGATCTCCGGCATCATTTCTATCACCAAGGCTATATTTTTCAAGTACCGATCCTTTTTGTTTCCAACTTTCACATTCCGGTCACCAGTAATTATCAATGCATCCTGATGGCATGTTTGATCAATTTCAGACTGCAGAAGTTGGTAAAAATCCTCAATTTCTTCATCTTTTGCCTTAGTGATTGATAGATAAATTTGAATAATAGTCGTATTAACTGGTCTTCCTTGTAGGTGTATGGATATCATCCTATCAGTGACAGCGTTGTACTTCAGGATATATATTGAAATGTTCTTTTTGATGATGAATGCAACACTATTCCTCCTCAAGTTGTCATTCCTGGCATAGCAGACCATGTGATTTTCCGATTCAAAATGGCCACTACCAGTCCATTTCAGCTAACTAATGCCTAGGATATCGATGTGTATGTGTTCCATTTCATTTCGAACAATTTCCAATTTTCCTAGATTCATCCTTCATGCATTTCACCTTCAGATTATTAATGGATTTTGCAGCTGTTTCTTCTCATTTTGGGTCGTGCCACATCAGCAAATGAAGGTCCCAACAACTTGACTCCATCCAGGTCGTTAAGGCTGACTCCACTTTGAGGAGGCAGCTCTTCCACAGTCGTTTTCTGAGTGCCTCCCAACCTGACGGGCTCATCTTCCAGCACTATATCAGACCATGTTCCACTGCTATTCATAAGGTTTTCACTGGTTAATTCTTTTGCAGAAGTAGACTGCCAGGTCGTTCTTCCTGGCTAGACAGACCAGAATTTGAATTTGGATTCTCCACTTACTAGCTGAGCAGTCTTAGCAATTGACTTCAACTGTCAATCTCAGATTCCTTGTGTGCAATAAATGGGGATCAGTACTATTCTGCAGAATTTTTCTAAGGAATGTAAAATGAGTTTCGGTCATACAATGACACAGGATTAAATAACATTGAATCTAATTTGTACAAGAAAGTTATTCTCTTCTCAATTCTGTCTCAATCCTGATCACATAGAAGAAAACTGCAACTGGGTGCTAGTCTTCAATCCATCTCTAAACATTACTCCTATCCCTTAGAAATTGGACAGAAGTGTGGCTCACAGTCTATAAGCAGACAAAACCAAAAAACCAAAACCACTTGCTATCAAGTCAATTCTGACTCGTGGCAACCCCACATGTTGAGAGTAGAACTGTGCTCCATAGGACTTTCAAGGCTGTGACATTCTGGAAGCAGATCACCAAATCTTTCTTCCGAAATGTCTCTGAGTTCGTTCAAACTGCCAACTTTTCAGTTAGTAGCCAAGCAATTAAGTAATTGTGCCACCCAGGGATTCCTACAGAGTGCAACACCTAGTAAGAATGTAATAGTATTGCTTTAACTACGCGCTGGGTTACTAACCGATGGGTTGGAAGTTTCAAGCCACTAGCCACTCCATAGGAGAAAGATGGGGCAGTTTGCGTCCATAAACATTACAGCTTTGGAAACCCTATGGGGCAGTTCTACTCTGTCCTGTAGGGTCACTATGAGGCAGAATCGGCCTAACAGCAATGGTTTTGTTTTTGTTTTTGTTTTTGTTGTTAATGATCACTATGAGTTGAAATTGACTAGACAGCACCTAATAACAATATGCTCTAATAATTCTCTATCTTTCACGAGTGATATCAGTTTTCCATTTATAGAGGTGTTTTATAGATCTATGTTTTCCTATTTTTTAAATTGTGGTAAATATGTGTGTAACAAAACATTTGCCATTTCAACATTTTTTACACGTACAATTCAGTGACATTATGTTCATCATGTTGTTCAACCATCACCATCACCCATTTCCAAATTTGTCCATCACCCTTAACAAAAGCATCTAAGCTCCCTTAAGGGACACATCAGTGTCCCCTAAACAATGAGTTCTCCTTTCCCCCTCCCTGCTGCCCCTGGTAATCACTAATAAACTTTGATCTCTATACACTTGCTTATTCTAGATATTCCATATAAGTGGAGTAGATCTATTTTTTAAATGGAGTGTAGTATTAAAAGGTAATAAAAACCTGAGTCAATCTGAAGGAAAATAACATTAAAAAAAAAAGAATACAGCTGTCACATTCACATGGCAAAATGTCATCGGGAATTTTAAGAATGACTGAATTTTGAAAAACAAATAAACAGAAAAACATGTAAAGCACTTAACATATTCCTGTCACATAATATGAATTCAAGAAATTGGAGTTTCTTTTATTTGTATATCCTACCCATTACATAAGGAGCACTGGTGGTGCAGTGATTAAGTGCTCAGCTGTGAATTGGAAGTTTGGCAGCTTGAACCTACCAACTGCTCCATGGGAGAAAGACCTGGCAATCTGCTTCCATTAAGATTTATAGTCTAGGAAACCCTGTGGGGCAGTTTTACTTTGTTCTATGGGGTCGCTATGAGTCAGAATAGACTAGATGACAACAGGTTTGATTCTTCTTTTGGTTTACGCATTACCTACCAACAGGCTTCTCCAACTCTGGCTGCCTCATAGCCCAACACACCACCACCCATAGTGACCGTATTATCCCCCAAGACTTACCAAAGCAGAGCAGGAACAGAAATTGGGAGATCATGGCAGCCCCTTCAGCCTGTTCCACCGAAATTCCTTCAGTCTTACCGTTTGTGTTACTCAAAATGTCCTCCCGACTCCAGGATATGCAGTAACGGCCTTGCTCCAGGGTTTTAATTCTCTACACTTACATACCCACAGTTTCTCAGAATCACAATCAGGAAATGATAACTAGTTATTGCAACATCCTCCCAAGCTTCCTCCCACAGGCTTAACTCACAGAATCGTCATCTAACATGGACTGCAGATCTTCTAACTGCAAGGCATGTAGATGAAGCAGAACAAAGTATGTAAGAAAATGCTCATTGAATCCCAATACCCATTGTCCCTTTCTAGAATAATGAAAGAATATAGATGAACCCATGAAAACCCGGAATAACAACTGTATTTCTCTTTCACAAGCAAGGCTTTCTGGTCAACAGGATGTGAACAGAAGTGATGTGTACCACTTCTGGGACATGTCCTAAGGGACGTTTGAGGGCTAAAGCTGGGTCAGAGCTGATAACAAAGAGAAAAAAAGTTTTAGGGGCACCAGGAAGAGAGTGGACATCTAGGAAAATGAGACAATAGGACCTGTAAAGAAGAACAAAAACAAAACAGCTAGTTGCTGTTGAGTCAATTCTGACTCATGGCTACCCCATGTGTTACAGAGTAGAACTGTGCTCCATAGGGTTTCCAAGACTGTGACCTTTCAGAAGCAGATTGCCAGGCCTGTCTTCCGAGATGCCTCTGAGTGGGTTTGAATTACCATCCTTTCATTTAGTCACCCAGCCCTGAACCATTTTCACCACCCAAGGACTTCTCCATAGAGAGAGTGCCAAGGAATGGGTTACCATCTTTAATCCACCACCTCTGTTACTTTTGGCTGAAATAAATTCTAACTGATACATTTCCCTTACAGAGAAAACTCATTCCTGATCTTACTCTTCCTTGACTCAAGAGGTGCTTCTAGAGGCTAAAGACAAGAAAGATCTGGACTGTGCAGCCTGAACCAAAGTTCTTCACCTCCTCACACCTCAGTTTTTCTCCTTTGTAAAATTGGGTTCAACCCAATTGTCTAAGGTTCTTTCCTGTTCAAGAAAAAGCTGTATGAGGACTTCATTTCTCTTTATGGCTTAGTAATATTTCACTGAGGCATTAGAATTGTGGTGTTGGCAAAGAATATTGAATATGCTGTGAACTGCCAAAAGTACAAACTAATTAGTTTTAAAAGAAGTACAACCAGAATGCTCCTTAGAAGTGAGGATGGCGAGACTTCGACTCGCTTACTTTAGGCACATCATCAGGAAAGACCGATCTATAGAAAAGGACATCATGTTTGGTAAAGCAGATGGTCAGCAAAAACGAGGCAACACCTCCATAAGATGGACTGACACAAAAGCCAGAACAATGGACTCAAACATACCATTTATCATTAAGATGGCACAGGACCATTTTGAGTCAAAGCTGACTGGACAACAACTAACAACAAAAATAATATTCCATTGTATGGCTAGACCACATTTTGTTTATCCATTCATCTACTGATGGACATTAGGTTGTTTCCACATTTTGCCTATTGTAAATAGAGCTGCAATGAGCATTGGTGTACAAGTTTCTGTTTGACATCTTGCTTTCAATTCTTTTGGAGGTATACCTGATACATGCTACAAGATGGCTGAACCTTGAAAACATTAAACTGAGTGAAATAAGTCACTCACAAAAGGACAAATATTACATGATCCCACTTATATGAAATAGCTAGAATAAACAAATGTATACAGACAAAATTTATTAGTGGTTACTAGGGGTGGTAAACAGGCAGAAAGGGGGAGTCACTACTCAGGAGGCATTGAGTTTTTGTCAATGGCGATGGAATAATTTGGAAATGGATAGTGATGATGGTTGTACAACATGATGAACGTAATCAATGTCACTGAATTACACATATAGAAATTGTTGAATTGGCAGATGTTTATATATATATATACATACATACACACACACACATATATTTGCCACAATAAAACAATTAAAACTTTGTATGAAACATTCAGAGAGAAGAGAAATAAGGAAGTGATAAAAGGAAGAATATAAGAAAGTAAGAAAGAAAATGAGCCTGAAGCTTCAAGCTGGACTTGAAGAAAGAGAGAGAGATATAAAAAAGGAGAAAAAAAGAAAGGAATGATAATGGCAGAGAAGGAAAGGGGAGTGGAAAAGGAAAGGTTGGGAGGGGAAAGAGGAAGAATATATGAGAGTAAAAAGGGATACAGGAAGAGAAGAGAAAAAGTTGAGATGTAGGGAGATGGGAAGAAAGAAGGAAAAGGAAGATGGCGGAGGGAGAGTTTGGGTTGCCACAAACACTGAGCAATTTGATGCTCAAGAATTTGAACCAAAAATATGAAGTTTATGTCTATTATTTCCCACAACACTCAACTGTACCCAGTATACAGTAGGTCCTTGTTATGGACTGAATTGTTTCACCAAAAATATGTGTTGTAAATTCGAACCCCTGAAGTGGTTATAATCCCTTTTGAGAATTAGTTTGCTTTGCTATGTTAATGAGACAATATTAGTGTAAGATGTGTCTTAAGTCAATCTCTTTTGAGATATAAAAGAGATTAAACAAGGAAGCAAGCAGAGATGGGAGGAGATAGATGCCACACCACATGAAAAATGCCAAGGAACAAGAAACAAGGCCCTTCCCCTAGAGCTGACACAGAGAGAGAAAGCCTTCCCCTATAGCCAGCACCCTAAATTTGGACTTCTAGCCTCCTGAACTATGAGAAAATAAACTTCTGTTTGTTAAAGCCACCCACTTGTGTTATTTTTGTTATAGCACCACTAGTAACTAAGGAAGTCCTCAATAAAAGAAAGCTGTTATATAATAAGAGATTTATACTTGAGTACTAGTGGCGCAATTGTTAAGCATTTGGCTGCTAACCAAAAGGTTGGCAGTTCGAATCCACCAGTTGCTCCTTGGAAATCCTGTGGGGCAGTTCTACTCTGTCCTATAGGGTTGCTATGAGTTGGAATCAACTTGATGGCAACAGGTTGGGTTTGGTTTACTTGAGTAGCGATGTGTGTGTCCACCTTGGACAATGTAAGGATAATTTCTCTAGAGCATAACACAAAGGACTCTCTGGAAGAAAAAGATAATAGAATGAAAAGCATTGCACTGGATTGTGGTTTCAAGAGAAACAATGCAAAATCATTTAATTTTTTTTTTTTTTTTGAAACCCAAAGAGAAGAGTATGATGGCTCCTTTAATACGTATTCTCAATTACAGGTCTTAATAAATTTGAATACAAAGCACTTTGTATTTTCAATCACCACATATGCATGTGAAAGCTGGACAATAAATTAAGAAGACTGAAGAATTGACGCATTCTAATTGTGATGCTGGTGAAGAATATGGAATATACCATAGACTGCCAATCAACAACCAACCCATTGTTGTCAAGTCGATTCTTACTCGTAGCAACCCCATAGGACAGAGTAGAACTGCCCCATAGGGTTTCCAAGGAGCGGCTGGTGGATTTGAACTGCCAACCTTTTGGTTAACAGCCGAACTCTTAATCACTTTGCCACCAGGGCTCCATGGACTGCCAGAAGAACGAACAAATTTGTGTTGGAAGAAGTACAGCCAGAATGCTCCTTAGAAGCAAGGATGGTGTGACTTCATCTCACGTACTTTATCAGGAGGGACCAGTCCCTGGAGAAGGACATCATGCTTGGTAAAGAAGAAAACCAAAACCCAAACCCATTGCGATTGAGTCGATTCCGACTCATAGCAACCCTATAGAACAGAGTAGAACTACCCCATAGAGTTTCCAAGGAGCACCTGATAGATTTGAACTGCCAACCTTTAGGTTAGCAGCCATAGCACTTAACCACTATGTCACCAGGGTTTCCTGGTAAAGTAGAGGGTCAGAAAAAAAGAGGAAGACCCTCAATGAAATGGATTGACACAGTGACTACAACAATGGGCTCAAACATGGCAATGATTGTGAGGATGGTGCAGGACTGAGCAACATTTTCTTCTATTATACACAGGGTCATTATGAGTCAGAGCCAACTCGATGGCACTCAACAACAGCAATTAGAGGTTTTAATAAATTAATACAAAGCACTTTGAAGAAAGCAAAGTAAGCTCACTGTCAAATTGTTTTTATTAGCCCATACAATTTTTCAATCAATTAAATGCTTATTATAGCCATCTTTGTATGACATGTTTCTCTAAAACACATTTCCCACACCTCTGAAAGAATAAATCATATAATTTGAATTGGTGAATGCCATAGGAAGGTAAACAAACTAGCCTGTTGGCGGTAGCTGAATTATCACCTTCATCTCCTTGAATGTCCATGTGACTTCCATGGTAATGAAGATGATTTAAAGAAACGAAAGTTCCTTTGAGGTTTCAAATCTGCTGATGAGAAACAAACTTTTGTTCTTAGAAGGAAACTCATGTATCTGACCTTATCTCTTTTATCTTCCTAAAGAGTGTTAGGATCCCTGGGTAGCACAAATGATTAAGCGCTCATCTACTAATTGAAAGGTTGGTGGTTCAAATCCACTCAGAGGTGCCTCGGAAGAAGGGTTTGGAGATCTGCTTCCAAAAGGTCACAGCCATGAAAACCCTATGGAGCATAGTTCTCCTCTGAAGCACATGGGGTTGCCATGAGTTGGAATCAACGTGATGGCAACTGGCTTGTTTGTTTTTTAAAGAAGGGTTAAGAGTCCATACTTCTGTAACCCTAAAAATATCTTGCCACCAAAAACTGAGGTAGGTTTGGGCTAAGTAGATGGGAAGAACTGGAGAAAGAAAGATACAAGTTAGACCACTGATTCTCAAACTTGGCTACACATTAGAATCTTCTGATCAGTTTAAAAAATATGCTGATGCCTAGGTCCCACCCCTAAATACTATGATTTTCATAATGGCTATAGGATTCGGCCTGGGTGTCAGATCTTTTAAACGCTCCTGGGGCAATTGTCCCTGGGTGGTGCAAATGGTTTGTACTTGACTACTAACCTAAAAGTTAGCAGTTCTAACCCACCCAGTGGCACTGCGGAAGAAAAGCCTGGAAATCTGCTTCCATAAAGACTACAGCCAAGAAAACCCTATGGAATACAGTT